AACAGGGGTACAGACAGCAAAACAAACACCACAGGGGTGTTAACCCTTCCCTATGCTATGCTAGCCAAAGCTAGAAAATATGCATTTTGGCTGGAGTTACACTTAATAAATGTACCTGTTTCAACTTAAATACATATGCAACTTAAGAACGAACCTACAGAAACTATGTGTTTTGTAAATGCAAGACTTCTTATACTCGGAGAAGGGGATGGTTCCTGTTTTGATGTTTTAAGATACAGTTGTTGTTATATTTACCCTTGGGTAAGTCGCCAACGTTTTTTGGATTGATTTTTTACTAAATATTTTAGACTTATACGTTAGTATATAGAGTATATTAAAAACTACAAGAAGAAATGAAACAGTGCCACTATATTTTATTAAAGTCATTTTCACTTTGAAGAAAACCAACATGAAGCCACTGGCAAGTTAAAAACATTGTAACAGTTTGTTGGCTGAAGATTAAGGTCTAAAATATGGTAAAAGAAGAGACTTAGACTGTAAAATACCAATAATGTTCTCAGCAAAGGGGAAAAAATACTATGCTAGATATAAAGGCTCCTTTATGGCTGTCTGGGCAAGGGGTCAAACAATCCCACCAACTGTCCCTCCAATATAAAGGATTTACATCACTTTGGCAACAATAGAACACTTGAGGGGATTGTCTCTCTATTTAAACTTTCGCTGCCACCATAAACAATTATATAGGAACACTCTAGCTATTTAAAATGGTAAAAATGCTTTTTAAGACCACCAAGTATTGTGTTTTCTTATTTTCTTCTTTATAGGGAAGCCAGTGAGGTTGAAAAGGAAAAGGGACTAAATCTACAAATGTACACTTGACTCAGGCTTTTAAGTTTCAAAATAATCAAGTAAAGTTTATTGATAGAGATACAGAATGAAGTGAATGTTGTCTAATAAGCTTGGCTGTTACAGTTAAAATGTTCTGGTTCTTGAAAGCGTAACGGTTGCATGAGAATGGTTCCTTCTTGGTTACAAATATAAAACCCAGCTATTTCTTCTCTAAATAGCTGTACCCAGTTTGCCACAGCTTAATTCGCTGGCAAACCTCAGGCAAAACTGCCTATTCTTAACACGAACTCCTAAAAGCTTCTGCAATCCTGCTCTAACTCTAACATCAACAGACTGGCTGAAACAGCTTCTTTCTTTCCCTCCAAACAGTCTAACTCCGCCCCCCTTTAATAAACCAATCCTGGCTGCTCTAAGGCTGGCTCAGGCCTAGGCCACTCCCCCTCTCTGAAATGGAGCTTTCCCTAAACTAAAATGGCTCCTGCTGCCCTCTGCCAGGCCTTCCAAGGCTGAAACCAACTAGCCTGCCTCTCCTAGGCCCTGCCACCCAGGCTGGCAAGGTAAGGGATCTTCACACTAGACACAAATAAATAAAGATTTTTTGAAAGATAGGATTGAGGAAAGATTAATGACACATTTATAATAATGGTCCCCCAATTCTTCATAAGGTTGATTGAGCACAAATCAAGTCACCTGAAAATTCATCCCACCCCTCACCCCCAAGTCCACTTCAAGAACCTGGCTTTACATAAAAAGCTTTGAATATTTGTGGCCTCGGTCATGAAAAAAGAAAGGTACAATGCCAGCTTGCTATCTTCTTCTGTCAGTATTCAAAGAAAGCCAACCTAATTGTATGTGTGCGAAAAGCAGTGTGACTCAACAGAGTATTTTGTCCATTTCTTCATATCACATTTTCTGATTTCCCTTTTGGGAAATCAAATGACGCCACATGTTTATGTGACTCTCTTCTCTATATAGTTTATATTGGTCTTTACTTCATTGAATGTTAAAAATGTAAGCAAATAAACCCATTTAATTGTTTTTAATTTCCAAGCTTTTATTTTTTAGGTAGTCACGCATCTACATATGTTGTATGGTGACAGACGTGTGGTGATGGTTAGTAGAGTGGCACTATTTGTTGCATGTTTTCTTTTCTTATCTCCAACCGACCCGTGCACTTTCCCGGGTACTCTTTAGTTCCCCTCAATCCTTATGTTGCGCCTTCACTACCCCGTGACAGAGGTGGTCAAGAACCCTTTATGCAGGTTGCATGTTCTGTGACCGCATATTGTCAAAGATCTTGCTCAGTAATCCATAAAGTACATTTAAACGTATTTCATCATCTATGACGATAGAGATTATTGCCAGTGACTTCTTGACCATGACTTGAATTCCTCAATGCTTTTAGTACTAAAATGGTTTATTGACGCAACGCATTTATCATTTCTTTTTACTCTATATTAATTAGCACCTCTATAGACAACTGTTTTCTTTAAATTTTAATATTTATAATTATTTGTCGCTAGAAAATGTGGCAGCGTTCAGTTACAGAATTTTCAATACTCTTTGACATGAGCAATAACATTAGTCATTCTTCTACCAAAGTTAAGTAACTTTTTTTGTCTGTTCACTTTTTTATACAAGATTATTACCTGCAACAACCTATATAATGTATTGGAGAAAAGATTGTGAGCCAAATGAAGCAAGGGAAAAGAAGAAATTGAAAACTTCAGCCGGCAAAATTCCACCTTCACACCTGAAAAGAGTGAGAAATCAAGTTGCTACTATTCCTTTCTATTTCTATTTTTGTATACATATGACTCAAAACATTAAATGATTTTAAAACTTAAGTTAGTTTAAGATTATAATTGTGGTAAATGGTGACACCGAGCGCAAGAAAATAATCCCAAATAGGTGGTGAAGAATGGTCCATAGGTTTGGCAGAAGAAAAAAATGCAGATCGGGACATAACTAGATCTGATTACTATTTTTAAATTCCATATGTTGTAGATTATAGACACAACAATGAAAGGAAGAGGATGGGGATGCTAATACAGACTGGTTTTACGAGGGAGCATTGAGACAATTTTCTCTTGTGCTGGTTTCTACAAAACCACAAAATATATTGATTATGACAAATTATACATGGTACTTATAACATCTTGCTTGATTTTAATTTAAATATCCAATTAACTGTCTCTGTTTGGTTGGGTTGCCAATTAGCTTGATTATACGACTATGTTAGTCTATCTCAATCTTTCGACTCTTCTTTCCTGACTAGTTAAGACCAACCCGGGCGTGCAGCAACTGCTTATCTCCCCACCACATAATTTCTTCATCTGTTTTAGAATTTCCTCTCTCAATTTATTCTGCCTTCATCTTTTCCACTGATTCTCCCTATGCTGCCTTGTCACCTCCATTCTCCCTCACTCTTTAAGTTTTCTACATATCTTTTTGTCTGAACGTTCAGTTTTATCTTTTCTCTCTTCTGTGTGCCCTCTACTATTATTCTCCGTGAGAGCGGTGTTGCACCTTGAGCAGGCATAAATGCAAAGAACTAAGCTTGGCATGAAATGCTTGTTTTGTTCTTGACCCTTGTTGAGGAAGCAAAAAAATTGTTTTTCACATAATTTTCCTTATTGTGAACTACTATTATGACTTCTAAGTTATTCTAGCACACACAATTCAGCTCCTATGGCATGATCCCATCTTGGCTCACTGTTAATTTTTCTATTGACAGTTTCATTTATTTTTTTCAATTGCTATTTCATATTATTATTTAGAAGTTTTATGCATCCCCCCAGGCAACAGTTCTTAGACAACCACTCTATTTTGTACTTATTTTTTTTATTAGATATACAATTGTACCTTCCTTTGGGTGACTTGCATTCACTCTTGGCTCCCCCCTTTCATTTCAATAATGTTTTTCCTATAGCAAGTTGTGATTTCAAAATCATTCTCAGAATTAATGTCTCTGGAAAGAAAGGCTATGGTTTGACTCTTCACAGTTTTGTTTATTTATGTATTAGAACAGAGGGCGCTTCCAGACTTCACTTAAATGCATGTCAAAGTGGGTTTTAGAAACCCATTTCAGTGCAGGTTTAAGTCCCCACACCTACCCCCAAAACCTGCACCTTCCCAGGGGGTGTCTAAATGCCCTCCCAGTAATTTCCAGAAGAGCACCCAGAAGCTCCCCAAAATGAGCTCTTAAAAATTAAAACCACTTCCCTAGCTGCCATTAAGGTACTGCTGGAGTCCTCCTGGCGCATAGAAATGATGCATGGGGGGTGAGGGGAAGGAAAATCACTCCTTGTCCCTCCCCCCTCTCCTGGCACAATTCCTTAATGGCAGTTGGGTAAGTTGTTTAACATTAAAGGCTTATTTTTGGAGTTTTTGGGAGGGGTGGGTGCATTCTTGGTTTTCTGGGCTCATGAAGCCCAAAAAACTGGAGACAACTGTGTCGATTGGGCCCAGAGATCACGTGATGCAGTCTCTGGGCGCAGTCTATACTGGAAAGATTTGGATCTTATCAATGATCTGGGTCTTGCCAAGTATTTAATTAATTCGGTTTTATTGGAGACGTCAGGTCTTGGTTTAAAGCTCTGTCTAGATGGTCCCTAAGATTACTGCTAAAGGACTATGTACTTCTGTTCCACAACCTTCCACTCCAGCAAAAAATCTTCTCCAATTAGGTTTCCAATCATCCAGAACAGTGTTTATGGCAAGAGGATGGGATGGGGGCTCCTGCAGAGATCACCCCCCCCCCCCGCTCTTTGTTTCACTGACATAAGTATTTGCCTCCCTGAATTGATACCATTAGATACTACTGACATTCTGGTCCTCCTCTTGTAGCATCTGTTTTAGTTGTGTTGCATTTCTGGGATTTGTGTTACACTTGTGGGATATGGCTTGATTTCAATTGGTAAAAGCAACATCCTGCCTGAAAGGGGTCAGAATACCCCAGCTCCCATGGTTTTGGAATTTACTTCTTGCTTGAAACATCTTTGCTATTTTGCAAACAGTTTTCTGATACAATTTAGTAGTAAAGAGTACAGAGCAAATATTCTTTCTAAAATGTTTTACCTGCTTACTAATTTAAAATCAATTACATGCCTATAGGTTGTTCAGGCAACTGAAATGTGTTTCGGCTCCTGTAGTTATGTTCTTAATTTTGTCCCTTCCATTTTCTCCAGATTACTACAGACCTAAGGCAACGTTGTACAGACAGCCATACAGGGACTTCTGCTTCTGCACCTATGGCTGCAGGAATTATTGCACTGGCACTGGAAGCAAAGTAAGATTTGAATTACTATTTTTAATGGCATCACTACAAAAATGCCTCCCGAATGCCTTCCCGCACCCACACCTTCTGTCCTGGTGGTTCAAATTGACAGAGATTTGAATATGACGCTAACTCAGCTGTGTTGCTTTCCTACTAATCTATATCAGGTTTATTCATGAAAAGGTCCATTGAAAACATAGTTTGATTTTAATTATTCTGTTGGTGTCATTAGACTTGAGGCCTGTATTTCTATGCTAGCATTTTAGACTACTAGTGTTGAACTTACATGGTATAAACAAGGAATCCTGTTAAAGATATAAGGAACAGAATAAGAGACAATAAGAGAATACATCTAGAAAGCTGATGTTGTCCTGAATAGTTAAATGCTTGTGATATAACTGGATGAGCCATTAGAGAATAACCACTGTGGTTTTTTTTCTCTAAGTAGTAAAATATTCACAATATTTTTTTACAGTCTAATTTATATGTGGCAACATTTCATGCTTTGTATAATTATTTGATTACACATTTAATTGATCGATTGCTCTGTGAAAAGTTATCATTGTACAGTATTGGCAACTCTTAAAATATGAGGGCTACCTTGAGTTTGAAAGTCCTCTTGCTGTTGCTACTTATTTAAAGAGCAGTTACAATTTATTGACCACTGAGACGCAGATTAAAAATGATATAGTCCTTATCTACAGTCTTTTAATCCAAAAAGAAAATTGAGACAACCATTCTAAAGACAATCCCATAACAATTTAAAATCAATTTAGAAGAGAAGGAACTGGATAGCTTGATCTCCTGCTTCTCTATCTTCTTCAAAGGAGCATGTGAATAAATGACTCAGGTGGGATCTGGTTATCAACAGAATATAGTGTTTTGCTTAAATACTAGGGCTGGGCAGTTTCGTTTCGTTAATTCGTAATTCATTAATAATTCGTTAATTTTTTCAATTACAAAACAATAACGAACCATTCTGGAGCAATTATTAAAAAAAACGAATTTTCAAAAACGTTTTGTAAATGCTTCGTATTTCGATATTGTATTCGTTTCGTTATTGTTTTGAGGTCGTTTCGTTATTATTTCCGCATGTCTGGGCCAGTTTTATGGCTTAATTAGTGAAAAAAAATTATAATATCACACCAACAGTCAACAACAGAGGGAGAGGGAAGCTTCAGAAGGTTTTGGAGGTTTTTTAGCGTATTTCGCTTCGTTATTGTTTCGGAAATCGATTCGTTAATTTTTTACCGTTTACGAAATTTCGTAAATATCGAACTTTTTAAAAGGAAAATTTTGTAATTATTTTAAATATCGAAACAAAAAAACCCCCCAAATACAAATCGATTTTAGAAACAAATTTTTCCGTTGTTACCCAGGCCTATTATATATACACATGTTGTACATTTCTATAATGTATAACTATGTCCAAGCATTACCTGCCATAAGCAGGCTTCTGCTCACACAAAAGAACATTTCACTCTTTACCTCACAGTGGAGGGGTGGAGCTTAACATTTACTTTCTCCATTTTGCTTGTGAACCAACATGATGGGATGTCACTCTGTGTTTTGGAGTTAATATCATGCAGTATAAATAGGACTTGCCTCAAAATGATGGAAAGATGCATTTGCTAATCTTTTCAACATAATGAGGTATATTCTCTCTCTATTATGAATTACTTGTGAAAGTTGATGGTATTGGGATTTTTAAAATGTATCTGCCATTTGTACTGACAAGATAAGTTTTCTTGATCACCTTGCAACCTGAACCTAACCAAGTTTATTCACAAATCTCTATTTTGTGATAAAGCTACTTAATGAAGGCTGTAATCTTGCTCCATCTAAAATCAGTTCTAATTTTCTTGTTGATTTCTGTAGGTGTAAGGTTTCACTCTTAGCAATTGATATTTCATAGCTTTTCCTTCCTAGAGATTTAGTGTTTATAAAGGATCCAATCTTTTTCTTACATTAGATATATGTGTTATATACATAAGTCAAAGATGCAGCCAAACATTACATAGATTCATTGACTGTTTATGGATGCAGATAAACTACTGATCCGGAAGCTACACAGAAAAATGGGAGGAAAGCTTTTAAATTAATGAGGCAAAGGAACTATGCTTCTAGTTGTCAGTGATATTTGAGACATGATCCAATAGATATTGTGACAGTTGAACAACTAGATAGATAGCAGAATGATAGCAACTGAGTCATTAACTAGTGAGAAATGCATTTGATGACTCTAAATTGCAGCTTGAGACCTAAATATTTTACAAACAAGAAACAGCCTAGAAGGAATATATATCTGCTTCTTGGGGTGAAATGGCTTCAAAGTCAGTGGCTTAGCACTAATATTTTTATTTTATATATCTTATCTTTTTAATAATGTTCCAATAATTTGCATCAGCTCCTCCTTGTTCAGGAAATATTGCTCTCTGGGCTTTTGTAGTTTTTCCACCTGCTGTTTCATTACCAATTTTAGGGAAAGCTAGCACTAATTTGGTTATCATACCATTCATATCTTCTGATAATGTAGTGAGGAATGGCCACAGTGATTGACTCGTCCCATTACATATTCAGAGGGATCTTGTACCACCTTAGATCCCTCAGAAAATGAAGTTAGTACCATAAGCTTTTATAGAATAAGAGTGCATCTGAAAACTGAGGTGATGTGAGAGAGGGGAGTGGGAAGGAGGAATTGTTCCTCCCTTTCCTCCCTCCCTCCTCTGACCACATTGGTGCTCTAGATATCATCTGCCCAGGTGATGAGCAGTGTCCAGCTCCATTTTCGTGCCCAGTGGGCACCACAAATGGCAGATTGAGGTGGTATGGGGGGCACTTTCTCTGGGATGATTGTCTAACCAACCATGGCCTATTCCAGAATAAGAAATAGCTCAAATCTTACGTTAACATGGTTCAAGATTGCATTAAGGGACCTTGGACTACAATACGCCGAATCAGCTCCATGCATCATCCAACCACTTCAGACTGATATGGCTATGTCTTTGAATTCATGCCATTCAAATTCTCACTGAACGTAGAAATTTTCCAAAGGAATGTGGAAATTGTTTGGAAACTGCAGTGGGTCTAAAATGCTGCAGCCTACAGCAGTTCGTAGCCTTATGGAAGGGCATCAAAGTCTGGATGCTCATCCTATGCAGTTGAGGAGGAGAGCAGGCTCGACTACCTGGCCTTGGCTCAGTTTGGCGGTAGTCAGGTCTCCTTGGAGGAGGTGAGTCAATTTCCATATAGTAGCCCTAATTGAAACCCATCACTTGTGTCTTGCCTCTTTGGAGGAGACAGGGGGAATGAGAGTGCAAACTGACCATTGCAGAAGATCTTTCAATCGGATGTGCTGCCATATTTTCATCATTATGCTAAACTGCCCCTTTAACTCTCATTTTAATATGATTCTTAGTTTAATTGCTTTTAAGATTTGTGTATTATTCATTGTTTTAACTGTGTTTGGTTTGAACATATACTGTGAGCCATCTTGAATCCCATACTTGTAGAAGGGCAGATATACATTAAATAACAAATAAAAATAAAGGTAAACATTTACCAAACATAATTTCTTCATCCTTCTGAAACCATTCTAACAATAACTATTTGATCATATTTAAATATATATATTGTTATGTTCTGTTGTGACTTTACCTCTGCCAGTGTTTTTAATGTGCAGCTAGAAAGTCAGTGTAGCTTCAGTAATAAGACCTAGTCTTATAAACACTGCTGATGATTATTTGTAATAGTGATATAAATCTCATCAATGTTATGTGTAAGGGTATTTCACAAAATCACACATCTATAGTTTCTCATGATTTGGCAGAAGCTATGAATGCAGCTCTTTCAACTCATATCAGAAGCATCTGCTGCCAAATTGCCCCTGCCCCCCACCCCAATGCCCACCAAACCTACCTAGAAAGCAGAGAAAAGACTGTCAAGAACATTCTCCAGCATCTCAGATGAGATACTTTATTTCATGGTAATGGAAGTTGGCATGAATATTACCACATTCTTACCTGAGAAATGCAGCATCTATCTCCATGGCAGGAAATGATGTAAGTGGTGTCTATTTCTGGAGTGTTTTCCACTGACCTCAGCATGGTATAATGGACCAGAGGGAGGCAAGGGAAGAAGGAAGCAATAAAGACAAAGAAAGTGGCAGGTTCTTCAGTTTTGGTTTTGTTCGAATTTGTTTTCATTGCTAAGGTTGTGAGCTCCGCAAGAGCTTTGAAAAAGCCTTAGTGACTAATGAGTGTGCATGGTCCATGAGCTATACTCTTACCCTCAAAACATTATGGCATGCATAATAACTATGACATTATTAATATTACAGAATACAGATACTTCAGGGTAATAGGAAAAGAGATACAAGAGCTGCTGTTTTATCTCCACTATCAGTGAGCTATGGGTGAACAACATAATTATTTGAAATCTTTTAAGAAATTGGAATTCATTCAAATGTGTTAATTTTCCACAGTATATGAAGAATCTGTTTCTCCCTTAGCTGTAAATTATATTGGAAGTGTTCATTAAATTATTCAAGTGAATTTTGGATAAAGCATTGGATTTGGATTTATCTTAAGCTGCAACAAATAATTTTTAGTTAGCCTCCAAGTGATTGATAACTTCTGGAATAGCTAGGCAGCTGTGTTATGTTCAATTTGTGACCTTTGGTAATGGAGTTTTGTAAAAACTAGTGGAAAATTGTTCTATTGGAATACGAATTGTTTCAACATTTTTAAAATCCTTTTTTTTAATGGTGTTTTCGCAAGGTAATTGGATAGCACAAAATGTAAGGAATAGAGAGGTTTCAATATGTTAAAACTGAGCTAAGTAGAACTGTACAATGGTGCCATATATTTGGAAAGCCACTTTTGGTGTTGTCTGATGCATGTTTGTGAATGTATGTCCCACTGTGCTCAGTGAGTTTATTGCTAGAAAAGGATTCAACAAATTGAGTCCATGATGTCATCCATTCTACAGCACATTCTTGGGAATAAGGGTCA